ACTTTTGATATTGTTTCATACTCCCAGTTGACCAATTATTATTATTATTATTATTATTATTTTATTTGCAAATGAAGCACGTTTCTTTTTTTGTGTTCGGGATTTCAAGAATATATTTTTTTGGATTTGGTTTTTGGACTTTTTTAGTTCCTTATCATATAAATAGTTCAGGTCGTTTCTTTTAACTAATTTATGGGGAATCCTTTTATGAATTTGAGGTGGAGAGGGAAGGAATGATGTTTCTGCGTTTATTTGTGTTTTTATACATCATTTTTGCCTACAGAAAAAAAATTAAAAATTTTTAAATTTTAATGGGCTATCTTTTACTTTTTGTTTTTATTTGCCATGGTGAGGTGAGTTCTTTTTTGCTATATCATGAAACCTATGCAAATTTACATTATTTTCATTCTCATATTTGTGATCAACCAGTTTCAACAATTAACCAATTTCAAAATCATATTTTTGATATTTTACTACCTATAAACTTTTGGAAGAAATAGTTCCAACAATTACGCGTATACCTTTGGAGGAAGTTAACTACAAACCTATTATAAATTTCCAAAACTAAGTATTGATTTGACACAACCAATGGAGAACATCAATAAATTATCGTACTAATATTTAAACTTATTAGAATGCTTTTATATTTTGTCTAGCATTTACTTCAAGGCATATATTTGATAAGTTTATTTATATTTAAGAAGTAACACTTATAAAATTCTAAAATCTTCAAAAATTTCTAAAACGTACCGGGCCAAATACAATTTATTTTTTTGTCAAATACAAACATCACACTTATAAAACATTTCTAAAATTCTTCAAATATTTCTAAAATATATCGGGTCAAATACAAAATATTTTTTTTCAGATACAAACATTTATAAGATCTACATATATATATTGGGCCAGGGTCGCGCATTGCGCGACCAGATATCACTAGTATGTATATATATATATATATATATATATATATATATATATTCAGCCGCCGCTAATAACCCAAAGAAAATTTCAGCCAACCAAAAAAAAATTAAACTACCGCCGCTCTTGAATCCTTAAAGAATAGTCCAACTTTCAATTTAAAAAAAAAAAAAAAAACTGCCAAAACAGAGGCAATCAGGTCGAGGCGTTGAGCTAATTGATATTCTCGGCCATGTACATACCCCTTTGAAAACATGTACAAACCAAAAGCATGAACATCATATAAAATTTATATGAACATCAAATAAAATTCATATTAAAGCACTTTATATTCAGAAAAAATCATAAAAACGAAAGAAGAAGGAGAAGAAGAAAGGTATGATAATAATATCTCTCCCAAATTATCAAACAAACAACTGAATCTTCCAAAAAATTATGATTATCTTCCGTTAAATGTACATTATCTTTTATTTATTATGTACATATTTTTTCATATAAAATCTGATTTTAACTTTTGAACACCTTGATTAAGCACACTTATCATATGATTATCTTTTTACAAAAATAAATAAAGTTAAAATTAATAGAAAGTAAACACAAACACAATACAAATCTCCCGGCGGCCCTTCACCATCTTCATCATCTTACCCATCATCACTTTCACGCACCAGATTTTCTTTCAAAAACAAAAATAAAAACAAAAACGAAAAAAAAAAAAAAAAAAAAAGAAAAGGAAAAACGCACATCAACTCCCTTATCACCACGTTCAAAGTTTAGGCTCCATTTGGACAAGAGTTTTAAAAAGACTTTTAAGGCTAAAAAGTCTGTTTAGAGTTTAAAATGCGTTTGGACAAAATAATTAAAGTCTTTTTTAAACAGTAATTTGGAAAAAAGAATGTTTGAAACAGACTTTTTAGAAAATAGGTAGGGGGGTATTTTTCAATTTTTTGAAACAGCCCTTTTTTCTCCGTTCGCGGGTTGAAATTCGGGTCAAATCCGGGTTATGAAAAAACGGGTGATGCATATGAGGGGAAAGTACGTCATTCGCTCACTCTTGCCCTAGATCCGCCGCCCTCTTTTCTCACTCTCTCTCCTTCAGCCGTGCGGCAACCCGGCAACGCCGACGGCGACGGTGACGGATTTTATAAAACACCGAAATCGAAGTGCCCCTAACGGACAAGACACGAAGTTGCAAAATTCCCCATTCTCACAAGCAGCGGATTTTATTGGTGGAGAAATTGAGGTAAACAAAGCTTAAAAATTATTGCAAAATAATATCAAATTCATCGATTTCCGATGTCTAGTTTGGAACCCGATTTAGGGTTACGATCGGTTCCTAGCTAGCTAATTTTGCCGGATTGAATACTCCAGTTTTTAATTAGGGTCTAAATCTAAAGATTATTGAGGAAAAGCGGTCAGTATTCGAATGTATTATTTGATGCTTCTTATTCCATTTTATTAGGACTTTCTTAGCTTTTTGTTTGGTTTGACGTGTTTTTCCTCTTTGTTTTAGAGTTTCGGATGGTTTTGGTCTATTGATGGGTCAATAATTTGTTCTGGGACTAAGTTTTGGGGGATAAAGAAGCTCTTTTTGTCGCCGATGATAAAAGCTTTGGGTTTGACTTAAGAAATTTTGAGGGGTCTGATATTTTTGTTTTCTGTTGTCTACTTTTGGTGGTGGGCTTATTATGGTTTGGGGCTAATTAAACTGATACGTTAGAAGAAAGTCCTATGGGCATACGTCAAACAACTTGTTTAATTGTTTCTTGCCTTTTTTGATTATTGATGTGAATGCGGTTGTTTCTTTATGGTTCTGCATAACGAGTGATGCTGTTGTTACTACAACATGTGGCTTCTAGACGCAGTGTCCCCTAAAAAAGCTTTATTACGGGATGTACAACCTGTTTTCTCTTTTAGAGAAATCAGTGTATGCAGGTGTGCTTATCCTGTAGGAGTTTACTGTGTAGCTGGTGGATAAATATTTTTGTGCTGCGTTATTTGTTTCCAGAGTGATGAGCCATCTCAGTGTCGAGGTTGCGTTGATAGTGTGTGCAAACTATATCAAGGTTTCTTTGGTTTTATTTTTCACACATTCTTTGAACTACTGTTACTAGGGTATTTCCATTCAATTTGAATAGATGAATAGTGAAGTTTTGGTTAATATATTGGAGATTATACTTGCAAAGCATACAATTATTCTTGGGAGGTTTTGTGGGCTTATCTCTCTAGAACATCTATGTTGCCCTCTTTTGATTGAACTCGGGACTATTTGCAGAGTTGCTTGGATGTCTTACAACCTTACCCCCAATCTTACTCTTGCTCTTGTTGGATTTTAGACCCTTGCCGAGTTCAAAGACGAAGAGAACATTTGCTCTCGTGGTCACTCCACACTACACGCACTAGTTATTATCCTACCTACGACACTTGCTAATTGCTTGTTGCTGTTTTTTATTTTGCTCAATCTCACTGTTTGCCGGAGAATAGCTTGGAGATACGACGTGAGAATCACGTTCAGTATCTCACCAGGGGTCTCCTTCAACTTGGTCCTTCTTTCTGCGTTTTGGATGCCAAGTACGCTCTTTGCCCTTTTCTTCTTCACTTCAATTATCGCCAGTTTTCAATTTCTGACATACCTACATTGATCGTAGATTGGGAAATTGAACTCAATTTTCTTTGTGTATTTGTTTGGTCTGTCCGCAGCCGTCCTTGGATTTGTTATTGGATACTTTATTCAATTGCTGTATTGGGTGAGTCGGTTGATCCAAACATAGAAGCTAATACCATCGACTTCCTTTGCCGTTGCCAGGTTTCTTCCAGCCCCTTCTCATCTTTTTACCTGTTATTATCGTAATTAATTTTACCAAAATTAAAAATCCTAATTGATTTTGTTATTTTAATTCTCATTATTACTTTCAGTAGAATCTAGAATTTAAATTTTGGTTTGCATATAAGAGAGCACAGCCTTAGTTATGGTTTTAGTGAAGATGAGCTCAACAGTGATACTAAGTTCATCATCTCTTTTGATTGATTCTGTATTCTTCATTTCATTTCACCTAGTGTTCCATTTTCCTAAAAATTGAAGGAACTTATAGTTTCTAAAATTAGATTTTTTTTTTTTGAAAATGAGGAGTCCATTGAACAAGGATAATTTATGAACAGACTAAACAAATGATGATATGTGGAGTCATCCTTAGCTGGGAATGATGTTCAAGCTATCTAATACTGGAAATGTAGTAATGTACTATACTTATAACTTTTCTTCCATAACAAGAATTCTGCTAAGAAGACTCCTCAAGATCAATCATAAACACAACCATTCTGGGAAAAATTAATTAATATTGCAGTGAGTTGGTAGCTAGAAGAAGAAGAAGGAATTAATGAGATTTGTATAGGGTTAAGAGATTTAGAGATGGTGATCATGGATTATGGGTTCTTCTTGATCCTTTGTGATTCTGTATATGGAAAACAAAACAAGGTGGCTCGTCTAGTTTAGTTCTTTTCTGTGTGTGTATTCCCTTCTGATGCTGTGAATTGTTTCTGTTTTTTTTTTTAAACGGTGAATTGTTTCTTTGTTGCTAAGCATCATTAAGGTTTATTAATTAGAAAGAACTGTTCGGAAAGTTTGGAAGTTTTCAAGTCTTGATTATTTGGTAGTTTATGATACTTATTTGGAAGGCTTAAACTAGTCTCGGTGGCTGTTTATCGTGGCTTGATTTAGTATAAGGTGATTAGTTTGATAACTGATTTGGATGCTTTAGACATTATAAACTTTTGATTATACCTACATAGAAGAATGGCAAGAGGAGCACTACGAAAATGTCTCAGTTTGCACACCTGTGTTCTACGATTTAGGCTCTAGTTTTGTTTCTTGATTGTCTTTTGGCCCGGGTGTGTTAGCTCAACAGCCAATACATAACTTTGGCGATTGGATTATTCTTCACCTGAATTAATGAGTTGGGTAGCTTAAAAAGTTTTTTTTTTTGTTTTTTGTTTTTTTTTTAATCCTGAATGGTAAATTTGTTTAAAAAGCAGTATTTAATGTTTCAAAAGCAGTATTTCAAAAGCAGTATTTGTTTCAGATGTCAGATATCAGTGAAAGTAGTGGTAAAACTTACGGAGTTTCTCGGACTGTTTGGACTGAAGGAGACATGAAGCTATTTGTTGACATATTGTTGGAGTATAAAAGGAAGGGCGAAATGAAGCAGAATAACTTTGGCAAGTCTTGGGTCAAGATTACCAAAGATTTTAATGCCAAATCAGAGTATAGGCAAACCCTTGAGCAACTGAGTCAGAAATTTCATCGCTTTAGAATTGACTGGAATGCTTTTAAGGATTTGCGAGAGAAACACACTGGTCTTGGATGGGATCACGAAAAAGGAACCATTACAGCTTCTGAAGAACGTTGGAAAGAGTTAATCAAGGTAATAGATCAAACATATCCTGAGGTAATAAACTTTTCTACACTTGCACTAATATGTATAACTATATATATTTAAATGGATATTTAAATGGATACTGCAGACAAACAAGAATTACAAGAAATTCCAGCAGCAAGGTTTAGAATATAACGATGAGTTTACTGAGTTATTTCAAAGTGTTGGTTCAGTTGGCGCATATGCTATGGCAACGGGGCAAAGTCAGGTCAGTAAAGCTCAGGAAGCTGGTGCGAATGTTTCAGAAACCATAAGGGATGAAGATGGTGACAAGTCTAGTGGTAAGAGGCAGATGGATAGTAATATGAATAAAGAGGGAGACTCAAGAGGGAAGAAAATGTCTAAGGGAATTCAAAGAGGATGTGTTTTGGGAAGGCACAATGTAAGCTGCACTTGCAAAGGGGAAAAGGTATAATGCGCAAGCAGCCCAAGTCTTGGCTTTTGAGGAGCATTCCATCGAGAAATGCATAGAGCTTCTATATGACCTGGAAAAAGACATCGACGATGTGGACTTATTTCTTAAAGCCAGTGATGCTTTCACTGATGAAGCAAGGAGAAGGATTTTTCTGAAATTTTCACGCGAACATCGACTCGCTTGGATTAGGAGACTCTAGACTTGATAGATTAGTGGAGTTGAAATATATTTTAGACTTATGTAGAGCTGGGAACATCCTTTATATTTTGTTGATGGCTTTTTGTTGCTTCATATATTTTAAACTTTTCACATCAGCTGTATCTAAATTCCAGCTGTGTTTAAATGTTATATTATCAAGATATTTAGTTAATCATTAAATTCCAGGTTTCATTGCAATTGAGTTGCTTGTGTTATATGGTTATGTATATTTTACTTGCTGTAAATTTGAGTCTTTTGGCTGAGTACTGAGTTTTGCTCATTTTTTTATTACTGTGGCTCAGGTATCCTATTTCTAGTTTCTTTCTGTTGGAGTAGATGTTTACTGTTTTGGAAGCATTTCGATTAGCAAAACTAAAGCCTGATAAAAACATGTACCTGTTGCTGATGTGTAAGGAGATTAGAAATAGGTCACTTTTTCATGTCTTAGGTGGTATATGGATGGTTGCTGATGTCTAATGCTGTTTTTTTTTTGCAGTCAAGTTGATGTTTCTGGAGGCAAGAAGGCTGTTGTTATTCATGTTCCGTACAGATTGAGAAAAGCTTTCCGCAAGATTCATGTGAGGCTTGTTAGGGAGCTTGAGAAGAAATTCAGTGGGAAGGTACTTGAATTTTTCTGTAGAACTGTATGGATTACTGTGACTAGTATCTTAATTTCAAGTTGTTCTGTTATTTTTATTTTGCTATTACGGTATGATGTTCTACTTGAGCTTAAGCTACTTTTCCAAATGCCTTATCTTTCGGTTTGTATGCTGTCTAGTTTCTATCAAGTGAATTTCAAATGGCTATGCTGACTACACTTCCTCCCGGTATTCATATCCTTATGGGTAGGATGACATTTGACTTGACTTGAGTTGCCGGTTTGTAAAGTTAATTTGTGACATGTCACGTTAAGTAGTATTGCACATTCTCTCCCATTTTCACTTGAGAGTTTGGCTATGATGACTAATGTTAATAATGCATTGTGTTAATAATGCAAACCCAATCATCAAAGTCAACGCACTACCAATCCAGGTTGAATTTCTAGCATTATTTAAATTGCATTTTCTAACAAACAAAAGGGTCGAAATAAAGCCACTTGTTCTTCGATTTTTGACTCGTGGCTGGTGAGACTATCATTTTCTGGGTTTGCTGATACGGTTTCAGTTGTATTCTTAATCTATAGTTAATTTACAATGCTTATCAAATATGTAAACTGTGCCTATATATGATGTACTTGATTCATTAAGGAAAAATACAGAAATGTGGTTCATTCATTCCTTTTGATTTATTATCTATTTTTCATTCTAAACTCAAATACCAATTTGTTACACAACATCTATAAGAAGGCTCAGAAGCCAATATTTCATCAACCATATATCTCAATTATTCTTCTTTATAATAATGTATGTATTGCCACAAGTATTCTTCTTTATCTTATATTACCAATTCAGGGTTGAGTTTTAGCGTTATTTTAATCACATTTTCTAACACACACATGGTCGAACTCGAATGAAGTTGCCTTTGTTTTCTCCGAAATCTGTAACTTCCGTTTTCTTCATTGATTTTGATGATTCTGTATGATTTCTTTCTTTTCATTTCTCATGTTTCCTTTTCCCGATCAATGGCAAGAAAAACAAACCTCGTAAGGGATCGATCGAACCGAGAGGACTCATTCTCTGGAGAATCTTTTTGGCGATGTTTCATCGATAAGACAAAAGTCAACTCCGGTATGAATAATGTCTTGATGAGTTGGAGTAAAAACATGGTAAACGGGCTTGATTGATAGACTGCGTAGCTTGAAGCCCGAGATTGCTCTATTGGGTTGTAGTCTTAAGTATAACTGCAATTCTGTTTCAGTTCCTGATACTCCCTTTTGGAAGCTTTAACTCCACTCCATCATCACATGTAAATATCACCAGCATCCTGTTTATGACAGTGAGCAATACCGAGCTTAAAAGCAATAACTCGCAATCGGCCCGTGTTGACATTCTTCATGAATTTGCTGATTCTGATTCAGAATCAATGCCACGTGAACTTCAATATTGGTGCTTCCTTATTCTTTGGCTTTTTTACTTGTTTTGGGTTGATGTACATATGTTTCCCAGCAGACAGTGATTCTGAGTTGTGTATATGCTAGACAGTGATTCTGAGTTGTGAAAGCCTTCATAATTTTTTCTCAGCCAACTGCAACAGTGTTTCTTCTTTTAGCAAGTTACTAACATGGATGCTGATGGTAATCTTTGCACAGGTAAGATGGAAGGTTCGTCAAATTTGAACAATGAGTTCATGGATTATTCGTCATCATCTGACGAAGAGGAATTGGAGGAATGGAAGTTACTACGTATGGTAAAAGCTCGCAAAACAAAATTAAGCAAGACACCTTGTAGGACATCAGCTTTGACCGGGCATCAGTATGTGAGGGAGGTGATATTTGGACATCACGCTCGGATTGTTCAAAATTGTCGCATCACGGTTGATACTTTTTCGAGACTGTGTGATGTACTTCGAGAGGGAAATTACCTGTCAGAGCACCACCAGCGACAAGTATCTGTTGAGGAAGCTCTTGCTATGTTTTTGAATTTAACTGGCACAGACGGGCGAACATGTGTGATTTCAGAAAGATTTCATATGCGTTGAATGTGTGGATTTTAAAAAGTTGTGAATTTATTCCAAGTCTTATAAACTATGTTTTATTTTTTTTTTTGAGAGTTGGATGTTTAAAAATCTCTCGATAACAATATTTCAAATTTATTATGCATTCGATAAGCTAGAATGGTCATATAATGGTTTTAAAATGAAACAAAAATGCAATAATAATATGAAAATTTGTGTAACTATTTCTTTTTATTAACAAAAAAAAAGTGCAATAATTATTTTTTGACAAAAAGTGTTTTTGAAAAAGGTCTAATCCAAATGAATTTTTAATATTTTTAACTACAAAAAGCTTTTTGTTAAATTTTTGTCCAAATGGATTTTTTTTCAAAAAGTCTTTTTGAAATTTTGCTTCAAAAAGACTTATTTGAAAAGCTTTTTAAAACTCTTGTCCAAATGGAGCCTTAATTTTTGATTTAGGAAATTATCTCGTATTTACTGATAATTATCCTTCAAGAATCAAATTCGATTTTTAATTTTAATAAGGTGCATTATCCCATATGTCATGGAAACTAAATACCTTAATTCTCGTGAGTTTCAATTTACCTCAAGTATTGTGGCTGAAACCGAATAGTTTCTATCATGGAACCTAAACCTTAAACCGAAATTGGATGGAGATCCGACGTTAAAATAACAATCAGAGGCAATACAGCGGTGACGGAAACAGATTTGACGCAATACATCGACGAGCATGGCGGAAATCTGTACAGAATTGAGGAAGAGTAGAAGGGAGATGGCTGAGACATAAAATATTGACCGACGATGGAATTCATGAGCATGAGATGATGAGGCAGCAAGCAGCGGACAGAGCTCAAAGGCCATGTTGGACGGAAGGAAACGGCTGCGACACTGGCGACGATAAAGGAATGAAAACAGTCGAATTTTTTAATAGGGCTGCTAATTAATTGGGTTTACCCGAATACCCGACCGACTTGAAGCTTATTCGGGTGATTCGGTTCGGCTAATCGGCCGATTTCGGGAATTTTCGGTCATACCCGACTACTCGAGACATAATATCGGTTCGGTTTCGATTAATTAGGCTGTTATTCGGGAACCGTCCGAATACCCGAATAATTATATAATTTAATTAATTTTTTATTATTTTATTATTTTTTGTATGTCATATATATATATGCTGATTTAGGGTTTCCTCATTTTTTTTCCCCTCTTTCATTTTTTCCATGAAATTCTCTCACCTTGTTTCTTCCGCCGGCCGCTGCTTCTTCTTCTCAAATGCCGTCGTCATTCTGACCACAAACCCACCACCACAATCACACACACCACTTCACTACCTCCCATTTCCTTCCGGAGTTCCAGTTATCCACCACCAACACCAATCGGTCCAAATACAGGGTTTTGGATTCAAATCGATCTGAAAACTGACGGTTCAAAGCTCAATTTTCCCAAATCCATTCAATTCAGAGCTTGACGGAGGTTGTCGCCTTGTTGGAGGTTGCAGGACCAGGAATTTTTCTAGGTAAGCCGTAGGCTCACTACTTTGTTTTGTTTCTTTGTTTCCTTACGAAATTATTACTGATAGCAATATAGCATTACTTACTAATTTTTATTTATTTTTTTGTCTTTTTATATGCAGGATTAGGATTCATATTCAAGTTGGGTTTTGTGGGAATCTGCATTTTCTTCGTCTCAGCTGGAGCTATTTGGGGTCCCTTTATTATTGGGTTTTGTACTGATTCTTGCTGAGCAGTTTTAGATTTGATTGAAATGTAAGTCGTTGCTGTCTTGCTGAGCATTTGTGTTTGATCATGCTTCGTTTGGTGGATCTGGAAGTCTGGTTTAGTTGCTTTTATCACAAATTAGTACTTACATCTGTAAGTCGTTGTGTTTGATCTTTTCAAGTTTAGTTCTTTCCTTTTTATGGTTGGTGGATCTTATTGAAGAGTTCTTAGCTCCATGCTTCTAGATAAAAGTTCAATCTTGATTGAGGTATCGTATGTTATAGTTTTTGTCTTTCTGAAATGTTAGATGTTATATGAAATCATGTCTTACATTGATTCAACTCAGTGGCTCGGCTGCTTATATTGTATGCTCTAGATCATGATACTTTGGCCTTTTGTTTTACCTCTGAAATGATGAAAAAGAAGAAACCAATGAAGATAGTGAACTGCATGGTGTGTCATTGTAATCATACTATTTTATATGAGAATGCAGGACTGAGAGTTAACTGTTTTTGTACTCTTTAAATGTAGAACTGAGAGTTGAAGTTTGAGACTGTTACCATCTTTAAGGTGAGATATTTTTCAACTGTTTTTATATCTTCATTGAATTTACTAATTGTGAGTATTGAATGCACCACTTGTTCTGTTGGTCTGATTGTCTGAAGTCAATTCTGTTGGATCAAATGATTTGGAATGAAGTGATCAGTTAGGTACTTAGGTTAGCAAAGATGTGGTCTCTATTAGTTGTAGTTGTGATATTAATATGTGAACCACTGTACTAGTTACATAATTTGCAGTTTATGAGAGTTGTTTTTATCTTGTAACATGTTTCATTATTTTCTGTCAACCACTCAACTGTGATTAAATGATTTTAGCTTTAACTTGTGACTGTATAAATTTGTTGCTTATTGCTGCTGTGAACTGTAACTAAAATATTTTTATTTTTTGTTTAGATGTCTGATTTTGATGAAGATGAGCTTGAGGAGATTGAAGTGGAGGATAGTTCACTGCCTCCTATGCTGGATTTACCTACTGATGATTCATTGATAGTAGAAGTCCAAATTGACACGAAGGACCAAAACGAAAAGCCGGAAGGTCAAGGCCGTTGAGCGAAAGTCCAAAAATCTCCAAAACGGCACAAGGTAACTCGTAATAGGTCAGTGGTATGGTCTCATTTCTCGAAATCTATGCTGTCTAATGGTGAAATATGGGCTACTTGTAGTTATTGTAAGAATTCTTATATGGCTGATCCTAAGAAACATGGCACAAGTAGTCTTCATAGCCATGTGAGTACTTGTAAGATGTACTTAGCTCAGAAGCATGATCCTGATCAGTCTAAGCTGGTTGTTGAGTTTGGGGAGGGAAAACAGGGGAATATAGGTACTTGGAGTATGATGAAGCAGAAATCATTAGGGCAATGATTAGTATGATAATAGTTGATGAATTGCCTTTTAGGTTTGTTGATAAACCTGGGTTTAGGTATTTTGTGAGGAAGTTGCAGCCATTGTTTACTCCTAAGGATAGACAGACTGTAGCTAATTACTGCTATAAGCTGTATTTATCTGAAAAAGTAAAATTGAAACTTGAGCTTAAGGGTTTGGGTAGTAGAATCTGCTTGACGACAGATACTTGGACTTCTATGCAGCAGATTAATTATATGTGTCTGACTGGGCATTATGTGGATAATAAATGGGTTTTGAGAAAAAAAAATTTTAAGTTTTGTTCCCATTACAAGTCATAGGGGGGTTGATATCGGGACTGAAATTGAAAAATGTTTCATGGAGTAGGGGGTTGAAAATGAAAATGTCTTTTCTATAACTGTTGATAATGCTAGTTCTAATGATGCTGCTTTGGAGTATCTTAAAGAGCAGTTTGCTGTCCGAGAGAAGTGTGTGTTGGGTGCAAAATGGTTGCATAATCGTTGTGTGGCTCATGTGATTAATCTAGTTGTTAAGGATGGTTTGGCATATATAGGTAAGTCTGTTGAAAGGATTAGGGCTGCTGTTAAGTATATTCGGCAGTCTCCTAACAGCATAGCAAGCTTTAAAAAATGTGCTGAAATTGAGAAGTGTGGTAGTTCCAAGAATCTAGTATTAGATGTTTGTGCTAGATGGAATTTCACATATATTATGTTGGAAATTGCTCAAAAGTATGAAAGAGCATTTAGGAGATTCGAAACTGGTAATGAGCACTATAAAGATGCTTTAAAATATGATCCTGATGTGCTATATTCGGGTCCTGGACTGCCTACTGCAGTGGATTGGATAGAACCTAGGAGGGTAGCTGGGATTCTTCATCATTTTTACGAGATAACCTTGAAGGTATCTCGTACCAAATCTGTCTCACATTCTTTTTTCGTTGATATTACTTGTATTGATGTATTGCTGAGGAAAATCATCAATGAAAGTGATGATCAGGATAAAAAAAAAAAAAATAGCTGATATAATGAAGGCAAAGTTTGATAATAATTATGGGCAAGTTAAGAATATGAATCTGGTTCTTTTAATGGCATGTGTTTTTTATCCTAGAAATACGTTGAGGTATTTGGATGATGTACTTGTCAATGTTTATGGACAAGTAGATGGGAAGGGTAGATATGAAACTATTAAAAGCGCCATATATGAGTTGTTTGTGGATTATGTGAGAATTCATGCCCCTAAACCTAGTGTTAGTTCGCCTTCCTCCCAGCCTGATTCTAGTACTTCATCCTCGAAAAGGCCTTCCCCTGTTGATATCGAGCCTTCGCAAATGCTTAGAGACAGATTTAGGGTGTTGGCACAGCAGAAAAATGAAGAAGCTGGTGGCGAATCCCAGACTGACAAAAGATCAGAATTGGACAAGTATTTCAGGGAGGATGATGAACCAGGTGGTCCAACTTTCGATATGCTGAAGTGTTGGTGTGTTAACAGTCCTAGGTTTCTCATTCTTTCACTGATGGCTCGGGATATTTTTGCTATTCCTATCTCAACTGTGGCTTCCGAATCTTGTTTTAGTACGAGTGGGAGGGTATTGGATCTATTCCGGAGTTCTTTGACTCCAAAGACTGTTCAGTACTTAAATTGCACTCAAGATTGGCTTCGGGGAGAAGTTGAAGAAGAAAGTGTCGAAGAAAGCTGGGAAGAACTCCTACAGATTGAAGAAGGTTACACTGTTACAGTTTGGGTTTTCATTTGATTTTTTAACTATTTGTTTTCATTTGATTGAATATTGACTGTTTGTGTTTGTTTCTTCTTTTCAGCTGCTGAGAAGGAAATGAATGCTGGTGAATCAGAGACTGTGGATTTGTCGTGTTCAAACTGTTGAGACGCTTTAATGATAGGTAAAATTTAGATGGTTGTTACATGTTGCATGAGTTTAGGTATTTCTGAATTTTCCATTGTTGAATGTTGATTCCTGTTGCTGAATGTTGCTAGGTAAAATTCCAGATTGCTAAATGTTGATTGGTTGCTGCAAGCCTGCAAGCCTGCCAATTGAAGTGTTGAAACATTGAAGACTGAACAATTCTTTTCATGTAACTAGTTAATGACTTAATGTAGTCTGTTGAAGTGTTGAATGTTGATCATTACTGGTATTTACATGTTATGTTGATGATTCTGTAAAACCATGAACAAAAGGTTGTATTGCTGTTGATGATTCTGTAAAAACCATGTACTGCAGCTACTGCTTCTTCCTGCTGCATTCTGTAAAAACAGTGTTGACTTTGAAACATTGAGTCGAAACTCAAAATGTCGAAATGAACTTTGAAATGAGATGACCATTGGCATTAGGGTCAATTGGTCTATTTTGTTGTTATATTGATTTGCATTTTGTTATTGTATCTCTGACTGAAAATCTTGTAAAAACAAGATATGACCTATTTGGCCTATTTCAGATTAACTGATCCCCGAACCGAAAAACTGATTACTTATTCGGCTCGGTTCGGTTCGGGGATTATTAAACTTTGGTTCGGTTTTGGTCAGGTTCGGAAGTGAAAATTAATCCGAACCGATTAACGGCCGAACCAACCAAATTAGCAGCCCTATTTTTTTACTTTTGTTTTGGCTGGCGAACAGAGTCACCGGAATAATTCTGGACGAATTTCGGTGAAAATTCTGTCTCGATTTCATTTTTAACGGCGGCGATGCATTTCCAATAAATGTTATATGTCATTTTACTTGACAAAGTTTTAATGTGGTATTTACCTGAGGTAAAAGATTAAAATAAAATTATTATAAAAAATAAAGTTATAACATTAACTATTTTATATTAAAATTTTACTGACAAACCAATAGATATCCTAATGAACCGACATGTCTTGGAAGAAAAATTATATATATATATATATATGTGTAAGATTCCTTCCATCTTCTTTTCTTCACATATGTGTTCTTCTATGCATATGATTCACTAACAAAATCCAAAAAAATAGTCCATAGTTATGTCCGTCCCAAGCGATATAACTTGAGAACCTTTTGAAGCAATATATTACCCCGTCCCAAAAATAGTCCATATTAAATTTTCAAATTTATACTAAAAACAGTACAAAACTCAAAACAGTTGTGGCGAAAAGGGTATAAACTCAATACACTACGGAAGCGATTCCCAAAAAAAATCTTTTCATACTACCAATAAAATAGGACAACCAAACAAGCAAATAATTTAAGGAACTGATAAAGTAAAGTAAACACGGGAATTTACGTGGAAAAACCCAATCGGGAAAAACCACGGGACTATAACAACAGTCAAATTTCCACTATCATCATAATAGGAAAACAGTCTTCACCAATCGGTGGATATACAGGACTTCACCCAAAAGTAGATTACAACAATACTCTTCCAAAATACACTTAAAGCATAAAGTAGGATTGGAAGGATCTCACCAAAAGAGAGTTAAACCGAAAACTAAACCTGAGGAATTGTAGATCTTGTTGAGAGGAATACACATGCAAACTTGCACCAACAATTGATTCTGTTTAGTCACCCGATTAAATTTCCGAAGTGAAACACTTTCTTCTCCCAAATTAAAGACCCCAAAACCCTAGTTTTCTTTATTTTTTCTCGCACAAAAAACAAGGTTGTGCGGCTGCCCAAATTGTCTTCCTCTCTCGGTTGAAAACACACCTAAAAATTATGCCAAACTCTTGCTTTTATAGAGCAAAAAACCAAAAAACAAAAACCCAATTGGAGTGGGTTTTGTTTCCCTCGGTCAAACCCAAAACCAAACCCAAATTTGGCTTGGTTTTATTTGTTTCCTTGTTGGCCCACTTGAGGGGAACACCGGGCCCAACAATCTCCCCCTTCACCTCAATTGGGGGGGTAAAACCAAACCTGCTTCCTGTGTGCAAAATAGGAGCTTGTCTCTACTCACAGTCTTCGTCAACATATCGGTACCATTGTCATCCGTATGGATCTTCTCAAGAAACAACACCTTGGACTCCAATACATCCCGAATCAAATGATACCTCACATCAATATGTTTTGACTGCGAATGAAATGTGGATTTCTTAGCTAAGTGAATAGCGCTCTGGCTATCACAGTAAACCACATACCTCTCTTCCTTCATGTCAAGCTGTTGTAGAAACTTCTGCAACCAAAGTGCTTCCTTACAAGATTCAGTAGCTGCAATAAACTCTACCTCTATAGTAGACAAAGCAACACACTTCTGCAACCTACTTTGCCATGAAACTGCTCCCCCTCCATAAGTCATCAAGTAACCAGAAGTAGAGTTTCGACCATCTAGGTCACCCGCCATGTCAACATCTGTATATCCATCAAACATGGTCTTCCCATTGCCAAAGCAAAGACTGAATCTGGAACTACCCCTAAGATACCTGAAAATCCACTTCACAGCATTCCAATGCTCCTTACAAGGATTGGGGAGAAACCGACTAACAACACCAACTGCATGAGCTATGTTTGGCCTTGTGCAAACCATCGCATACATCATGCTGCTAACTACCGAAGCATAAGGAACCTTTTTCATCTCTTTGTTATCTTTCTCACTTTTAGGACACTGCATTTTGCTTAGCTTAAAATGCCCCATTAGTGGAGTCGAGACTTCCTTAGCACCACTCATGTTAAACCTATCAAGAACCTTCTCGATATACTTTTCTTGAGATACCCAAAACTT